TTAGTTATTAATTATGCAGAATCCAAATACATATACATATTTTAAAGATAAAAGACAGTTAAGTAATACTTTTTGAAGCCCTATCAGATAAATTTGGTGATGTGATTGTTTCTTACTTTGATGAATATAGGAGAGAATTGCCCAGAGCTTAACTAGTTTGTTTGTTTGTTTGTTTTTCTTTTTTCTTTTGGAGCGCTGACACCAGCTCTAATGAAGCAACTTATGCAATGTATAATATGTGCTTAATTGTGGACTAGAGACCAAGTTTTCCCAAAAGGGCTGTTGGAACCAAAATATGAATTTCCACCAAGAGAGATTAAAAATCTTGGGGGAAAGAAAATGACAGTGTACATTTAAATTATATTTTCTACTGAGTTTATCATGCTAAATGCTTGAGACATATTTCCTAAGGCAAAAAAAATAAAAAGTCACTAAAACTATGGAATTTTAGTACATTAACAGCTCCCAAAATGTGTTCCAGATTAGAGATTTAAACGTCTTTTGATTACTCTTGGAATTTGTTTTTGCTTTTCTGCAAATGTGCCATGTTAAGTAGTTTGATTATTTAAAATATATGTAGTTCTGCCTGAGTAACTCTTCATATATATGATCAACAAATACTATTATTTTATTAAAAATTTTATTAAAGAATAAATTGGTGTAACTGTAATCACTACCCTATATGGGTGTTAGGATTCCTTTCTATATATATTATTGCAGATACGTCTTCCATTCCTTTTTTAATGTTTTGTTTTAAGAACAAAATTCTAAAACAATGAAACACAGCTCTATATAAGAGAGTATATGCCTCAAAGGAAATGTCTTTTACATTAATTATTTTATAAAATTTAAGAAAATTTGTATGTCTTCTCATTTAGAAAAAGATAGTGTTTTAAGGAAATACCTTCTTTAGTTTCAGAGACATGGCTTGGTGGAGGGAAAAGAATCTTCACAGTAACAATCACTCAGCTAGGGCGCCTGGGTGGCTCAGTTGGTTAAGCGACTGCCGTCGGCTCAGGTCATGATCCTGGAGTCCTGGGATCAAGTCCCGCATCGGGCTCCCTGCTCGGCAGGGGGTCTGCTTCTCCCTCTGCCCTCTTCCCTCTCATGCTCTCTGTCTCTCATTCTCTCTCTCTCAAATAAATAAATAAAATCTTAAAAAAAAAAAAACAATCACTCAGCTATCAGATAGGTGTTTAATCTGCTGAGTCCTCTGAGGTAAGTGAAAAGAAATTTGCAAATGACACTATAGATAAAGGGCTGGTATCCAAAATCTATAAAGAACTTCTCAAACTCAACACCCAAAAAACAAATAAGTCAAAAAATGGGCAGAAGACAGGAACAGACACTTCTCTGAAGAAGACATACAAATGGCTAACAGACACATGAAAAAATGTTCATCATTAGCCATCAGGGAAATTCAAATCAAAAGCACATTGAGATACCACCTTACACCACTTAGAATGGCAAAAATGGACAGGGCAAGAAACAACAAATGTTGGAGAGGTTGTGGAGAAAGGGGAACCCTCTTACACTGTTGGTGGAAATGCAAGTTGGTACAGCCACTTTGGAAAACAGTGTGGAGGTATCTCAAAAAATTAAATACAGAGCTACCCTATGACCCAGCAATTGCACTCCTGCGTATTTACCCCAAAGACCCACATATAGTGAAAAGAAGGGCCATATGCACCCCAATGTTCATAGCAGCAATGTCCGCAATAGCCAAACTGTGGAAAGAGCCGAGATGTCCTTCAACAGATGAATGGATAAAGAAGATGTGGTCCATATATACAATGAAATATTATTCAGCCATCAGAAAGGATGAATACTCAACATTTACATCAACATGGATGGGACTGGAGGAGATTATGCTAAGTGAAATAAGTCAAGCAGGGAAAGTCAATTATCTTATGGTTTCACTTATTTGTGGAACATAAGGAATAGCATGGAGGACATTAGGAGAAGGAAGGGAAAGATGAAGTGTGGGGGGGAATCGGAGGGAGAGATGAACCACGAGCGACTATGGACTCTGAGAAACAAACTGAGGGTTTTAGAGGGAAGGGGTTGGGGGGATGGGCTAGCCCAGTGATGGGTATTAAGGAGGGCATGTACTGCATGGAGCACTGGGTGTTATACGAAAACAATGAATCATGGACCACCACATCAAAAACTAATGATGTATTGTATGGTGACTAACATAATAAAATAAAATTAAAAATTAAAAAAAAAAGAAATTAGAGTGCCTTGATGAGTTTCCTACAACTTATATTGAAAAGGAAAACATGCAATTAGTGTCAGACATACTATTTAAAGAAATACATGTCACTTTGATGATTATGTAGTGTGAATTTATTATGCATCTGACATGCATTTTCTCAATTGGGACTATTTATGAACATATTGCTTAAGTAATTTATGTGAAAAGAATATAGAGTTAAGTATTTGAGATTTATTTGGTCTTATATTGCATATGAATCATCCCAGGTTTAAAAGACAAAGGGGATGAAGACCATCTTGTCACAGTGAGATAGGACCAGAGTTTGGTAGCAGTGTGTACTTCTAATGTAAGAGACCATGACCCTGGAACATCCTTGTATTCTTGATGGGGCTAGTGAACATTTTTGTTTGTTTCTTCTCTAAACCATAACATTTTGCATTATATTAAGCACAAATTTATATCCAACAATACTTTTGAAATAATGAAAATATTTAAAATAGGTAAAGTATTTCAGGAAGTAAAAAAAAACACATGGTGAGAATTTTATGCAGATCTTTTTTGTTTGTTGGTTTTGTTTTGTCTTTAATTTTATTATGTTATGTTAGTCATCATACAGTACATCATTAGTTTTTGATGTAGTGTTCCATGATTCATTGTTTCATATAATACCCAGTGCTCCATGCAATGCATGCCCTCCTTAATACCCATCACCAGGCTAACCCATGCTCCCACCCCCTCCCCTCTAAAATCCTCAGTTTGTTTCCTGGAGTCCATAGTCTCTCATGGTTCATTTCCCCCTGGGTATCCCCTCCTTCATTAAAGTAAATTATTTTGGGGACACCTGGGTGGCTCAGTCCGTTAAAGTAAATTATTTTATAAATTGTATAGTTCCATGCAAGTCCTGATTATTATTAATAATTCCATTTTTATATTTACCTTATTCCTGACTGAAAATATGAAGGTGCTAACACATTTTCTATATGTATGGCTTCCATTTCTACTCATTTCTTTAGTTTCTATCTCCTGATATCAGTTACCTAATACCTTTACCTTAAATAAAATTTACACTAAAGATTTTTAATAAAAGCAGAGTTCAAAATTCAAGGGAAATGTGGAAAAAAACAATGAAAAAAATATGTGTGGACTATGATAAGAATCATGAGCTTTTATTATGATGAAAATAACTATATATAATTGCTTATTTGATAAAGTTTTTTAGGTAGAAATTTTTGACTTTCAGCCTTTATGGACCTAATAACATATAACTTGTTCTGAAATCCAGCATGGTAAATATAAATTTTAATATTGCTTCCTTTCTCTTGACAAGTTTCCAGTTTGGTTTTAAAACAAACTTTAAGATGATATTATTTTAATATTTTTACTTCAACTTGAAATTCCAAGACAGTACTTAATGCACCAGAGCCACATGAAAATTACAATTGTTTTAAGGTTGGGAATTGTAATTTTTAAATTATATTGGTGAACATATCATAAAAGTTGTCAGTCCTCAATATATTTATTTTATATTAGTGTGAATGGAACTCACATTTAGAATTTTATCTACAACTGGAAATGCTTTTGGATGTTGGAGGAGGTGTCTCTGGGTGTTAGAGAATTTCTTTCTTGAGGGAAAGAAGATGCATGATATTTTTTAGGTCTTCTCATCTTAACATCCAGTTTGTACTTTTTCCTCATCCATCAAGTGAATTTTTTTATTTATAATACAGTAATGTGGCATAGCCTAAAATTAATTTCCTGAACCTTATGAAAATATTTTTACAGCATTCAATGTTTTTATTTTTATTTTTTAAAGATTTTATTTATCTATTTGTCAGAGAGAGAGAGACAGAGAGAGCACAAGCAGGGGGAGCAGCAGAGGGAGAAGCAGGCTCCCCACTGAGCAAGAAACCTGATGCGGACTCCATCCCAGTACCCTGGGATCATGACCTGAGCTGAAGGCAGATGCTTAACTGACTGAGCCACCCAGGTGTCCCATTCAGTGTTTTTAATACTTACCAGAGTATTACCCTTTAGAATTAGAGGTGAGGGAAGATGATTAGATAACTTTGTATGTGCTTAAAAAGGCCTAAGAATTCTGTATTTAAAGGGAAAAAAAAAGGATAAAACATGTATTTTTCAAACTGAACAGAAATTTAGAGTGCTTTTAATACTGTCATAAATTCATTGGGTAATTGAGTGTGAGTAATACATCTGATAATCAATAAGTATAGAGCTAAGGGAAACTGAATATGCATACATTCTCTAAAAGTTGTCTTGTTGGGCGCCTGGGTGGCTCAGTTGGTTGGGCGACTGCCTTTGGCTCAGGTCATGATCCCGGAGTCCCTGGATCGAGTCCCGCATCGGGCTTCCTGCTCAGCAGGAAGTCTGCTTCTCCCTCTGACCTTCCTCCCTCTCATGCTCTCTGTCTCTCATTCTCTCTCTCAAATAAATAAATAAAATCTTTAAAAATAAATAAATAAAATAAATAAATAAATTAATTAATTAAAAAAAAAAGTTGTCTTGTGTGTAAAGAGATAGGTTAAGCTCTCATCATCCAGGGTTTATTCTCTGAAAGTTACTGGAATAAGATGCATTGTTTTCCACTCATTTTGCAAAGAAAATGAAAGCAGTGTACAGTCTGTATATTTTACTTGGCTAGGGCAATGGTGTGGAGGCAATTCAAGGCATTTATTAATAATCATTTTCTTTTCTCTTGAAGTACAGTCATTGTCTTTACATGGAATCTTTAGATACAATCTGCTCTGATATTTCAGATTAAACTATGAAGACAGGAAATCAAAGCATCAAAACAGATTTTATACTTTCTGGCCTTTTCCAATATGGTCAAATGGACACTTTCCTCTTTGTTGCCATTGTAATCCTCTTTGCAGTGGCTCTGATGGGGAATATCATACTGATCCTTCTCATTCAATTGGACACCAGACTCCACACTCCAATGTATTTTCTACTCAGTCAGCTCTCCTTCATGGATATAATGAACATCACCACCACAGTGCCCAAGATGGTCACTAACTTTCTGTCAAATAGTAAGACCATTACTTTTTTAGGCTGTGAGATTCAAACATTTGTGTTCATAGTCCTTGGTGGGACTGAAGCTCTTCTCCTTGGTTTCATGTCCTATGATCGATATGTAGCCATCTGTCACCCTTTGCATTATCCTTTACTCATGAGCAAGAAGATCTGTTGGTTCATGGTCACATGTGCATGGACCAGTTGTTCTATCAATGCTTTAGTACACACATTGTATGTATTTCATCTTCCATTTTGTAGATCACGGCTCATCAACCACTTTTTCTGTGAACTTCCATCTCTATTACAACTGGCATGTCAGAACACTTCCCAGTATGAGTATACAGTCATTCTGAGTGGGCTTATTATTCTGCTGCTGCCGTTCTTGGCCATTCTAGCATCCTATGCCTGTGTACTTACTGTGGTGTTCCAGATGAGCTCAGGTAAAGGACAGACAAGAGCTGTCTCCACTTGTTCCTCTCACCTGATTGTGGCAAGCCTATTCTATGTGACTGCTCTCTCCACCTATACAAGGCCACACTCCTTGCATTCCCTGGGACAGGATAAGACAGTGGCAGTGTTTTACACCATCATCACACCTCTTCTGAACCCATTTATCTACAGCCTGAGGAATAAAGAAGTTATTGGGGCCATGAGAAGTCTGTTGATATAATGGATATTTGTACAGGAGATATCACTTTGGGAAATCCTTATTGATTGAGATGAAACAATAGAGATCACTTTGCCTGGAATACTGTTTTGGAATATATAAACTCTCAGAAATATTTATGAAATAAATAAATTGATAAATACCTTGAATCCTGCTGGTTTCAGAATGGCTTAAAGATAGTTTTTGAAAGTGGATGCATTTCCAATCTTTAAGCTAGAAAAATTGTGTTATTATCAACATTATTTAGCCCTCTAAAGCAATAGATTTCATCCATGTCAACTCAGTATTTGCATGTCATGACAAATATTTTGTAATATCCTCCTTAATATCTGAAACACAATAAAAAGGAGATATAATCTATTCAAACACATACCATTAAAAGGATCTATGTAAATATATGCTGTAATGTAGAGCAAAGTACATAATTCACTCATTTATGCATTCATTCAACAACTGATTTAATGTTTTAACTATTTGTGACCTAGGAGTAAACAATGATAAGAACTGACAGAAAACGTTGATCTCATTCCGTTTGCATTTCAATGTGGGGAGATACAAAATTAATAAAATAAATATGAAAAAAACTACAATACTTAAAATAAGAGGAATTAATGGGAAAATAGCTGGAGATTGGGATAAGGAAAGTCAGAGAATTTTGTAATTTTATATAAAACAATCCATGAAGTGGCAACTATAAATATTTGGCAAAAGATTTAACTGAGATGAGTAAAGAATTCAAATTGATACTTCATAAAGAATGTTCTGAGGGAAAAATGTTCTGGGCAAAAGAAGGAGCAAATAAACATTTCTTGAGATAGGAACATGATGGACAGGGCAGAGAAAATGAAAGAGTAAATTGGTGGACTCCAGTAGATGAGTAGAGTTAATGGATACAGAATTTGAAATGTGAGGTTGACCATTGTGAGAAGTTTGGTTTTTAATCCAAGAAAACTGGAAACCATTGCTGTGCTCACAGAGAAGATTGAAATGGGCAAATAGGGCGCCTGGGTGGCTCAGTTGGTTAAGCAACTGCCTTCGGCTCAGGTCATGATCCCGGAGTCCTGGGATCAAGTCCCGCATCGGGCTCCCTGCTCGGCAGGGCTCCCTGCTTCTCCCTCTGATCCTCCCCCTCTCATGCTCTCTGTCTCCCATTCTCTCTCTCAGATAAATAAATAAAAAATCTTTAAAAAAAAAAAGAAAGAAAAGAAAAGAAATGGGCAAATAGGAGAGCATTGCTGCAGTGCAGTTGTTACAAAATGCTGACTTGGAGAAAAGTAGTAATGTTAGAGAAGCATGAAGTGACCAGTCCAGAGATTAGTAGAAGGGAGACATTTGAATCTTTTGGATTGATATGATGTGAAATGTGAGGGAATCATAAAAACAGAGAATTGCGTTAGGATCTTGGAATAAAAACTGGAAGTAAGAAATCATCATTATTACTGTTGAGGAAAACTGTAAGGGCAACATTTTCATCATCCAATTTCTTTGTGCCCCTTCACTATTAGCATTTAATTCTATTAAGGTCATCATTCTAACTTCCATCGACATAAATAAATAAAAAATAAATAAACAAAATCCTCTTGTGCATCTAGCTTCTTTTTCTTAATGTTTATAGATATAACCTCAATAATGCAAGCAATGATGCTATTGTTTTTATTGCTGTATGTATGGTGATTAACATAACATAATAATCATTGTCTTGTATGGATATATCACTATTGCTTTCATTGGATGCTTTTGCATTTTCGGCTATTAAAAATAAAAATGCTGTAACTCTCCCTATACAACTTTTCTAATGGGCATATGCATTGAATTCTTTTTTTTAAAGATTTTATTTATTTATTTATTTATTGAGAGGGAGAGAGAGAGAGAGCAGGAGGGAGAGCAGAGAGCACAAATACCAGAGGGAGTTGCAGAGGGAAAGGGAGCAGCTGACTCCCCACTGAGCAAGGAACCTGATGAGGGGCTCAATCCCAGGACCCCAACATCATTACCTGAGCCAAATGCAGACACTTAACCAGCCAGGAGCCCCACACTGAATTCTTTAAGTATATACCTAGGAATAAATTTGTTTGGTCATAGATAAGGTGTATGCTTAGATGTAATAAGACAATTAAATTGTGGTATTAACATCAAATATTCCAATCAGGAATATATAACAACATTCTAGTGCTTATGTGTTGGTGTACATAATGTAATGGATTGGTGCTTAATTTAAAATAAAATTGTGATGAGCCCTATGTGTTGTATGTAAGTGTTGAATCACTATATTGTACACCTGAAACTAATATTATACTGTATGTTAACTACCTGGAATTTAGATAAAAACAAGAAAATATAAAAAAGGAAAAATATCAAAAATACATATTTTTCATATATGTTAAAGACTTACATCTATGTGTCCATCGTCAATGATTCTCATAACTGTTTTATTTGTCTTAGGGGCACTCATTCTTGACTCAAAATAAATTACATATTTGGTCCAAGGGTATCTTTATTTAGCTTATTTGTTTTTAATATATAGTGTATCTGTAAGCCCACCACCAAACCAGGAATTAAAACAGTGAAATGGTTAGAGCTCTTCAGAGCTTCTATCTTATCCTCATGTGTCCCCCATTGTTCTGAATTTCTAAACTATCATTGTCTTGCTATATTACTGTATTGCCAAATATACATTCATGGAAAATTATAGAATGTTTACCATCAGGGCTTTGAACAGTATAATAAAAAGGTCTTATGCTGTAGGTTATTTGTTTTAGAACTTTGCTTCACTTGATCTTATTTTATTTTTTATTATTTTTTAATTTAATTTAATTTAATTTTATTATTTTATTTTATATGTTATGTTAGTCACCATACATTACATCATTTGTTTTTGATGTGGTGATCCACGATCCATTGTTTTCGTATAACACCCAGTGCTCCATGCAGTACATGCCCTCCTTAATAACCATCACCAGGCTAACCCATCACCCCGCACCCTCCCTCTGAAACCCTCGGTTTCTTTCCCATAGTCCATAGTATCTTATGGTTCATCTTCCCCTCTGATCTCCCCCTCTTCATTTACTATAATAATACAGTTGAATGCAACCGTGGAACATACTTTTTTACTGTAAGATAAAATTCTTTTTTTTTACTTTAACAAATAATCTGTTTTTTGTTTGTTTGTTTACATATTTTACTGGCTATTCTTCCTCTTTTTATTTTTATTTTTTTATTATGTTATGTTAATCACCATACATTACATCATCAGTTTTTGATGTAGTGTTCCATGATTCATTGTTTTCGTATAACACCCAGTGCTCCATGCAGCACGTGCCCTCTTTCAGGATAACGTATTTCTCTCACAAATGTAAATTGTTTCTACTATTTTAGAAACCACTTCGCATAGTTCCAAACCATGACCATTTTCATATCCTATGAACCAGCAATTCCAGTCATATATGCAAATCCAATATAAGCTCTTGTCCATGGGAAACAGGGGGCATATACATTAATATTCATAAATGTAACATAGGTTATAGCATAGAATTGAAAATTGTCTATCATCCACCAAACAGAATATAAACAGATATTTATTTCCCATCACCAGGAAAATGTAGCATATGTAATAGCATAGAATTGAAAAAATTGAAAAAATTGAAAAAATTCTATGCTATTACATACCTGTTCGGATGATCTGTCCATTGATGTAAGTGGAGTTGTAAAGTCCTCTACTCCTATTGTATTGCTAGGAATTAGTTTCTTAATGTTTGTTATTAAGTGTTTTATAGATATGGGTGCTCTCATGTTGGGTGCATATTTATAACTGTTATACTTTGTTGTTGGATTATCCCCTTTACCATTATATAGTGCCCTTTTTTGTATCTTGTTACAATCTTCGTTTTCAAGTCTATTTTGTCCAGTATAAGTATTGCTACTCCAGCTTTCTTTTGACACCATTTTCATGATAGATGTTTCTGCATCCCTTTCCTTTCAATCTATAAGTATCTTTAGGGCTAAAATGAGTCTCTTATAGGCAGCATATAAATGGCTCTTGTTTTTTTTTTTTTTTTATCCATTCTGACAGACTATGTCTTTTGACTGGAGCCATTACCCCATTTACATTCAAAGTAATATATATACATACATACATTTATATATATTATATTTGTATATGTATTTATTTATGTATTTATTAATAATTAAATACATATGTATGTATTTTTATCACTTGTTTTGTGGATGCTTTTGTATTTTTTTCTCTAATACTTTCTTCTCTTGCTTTCATCCATGGTTAAATGTGCAATAACACATTTTTAGTAACAAAAATATTATAAAAATTGCTTAACTATCATGAACTTAAATCATTTTCATATTTTTTCAACTAATACTTTTATAATTGGTAACTTTTTCAGTAAATAATTCTTTTTTTTTAAGATTTTATTTATTTATTTATTTGAGAGAGATAGAGAGAAACAGCATGAGAGGGGATAGGGTCAGAAGGAGAAGCAGGCTCTCCGCTGAGCTGGGAGTCTGATGTGGGACTCGATCCCAGGACTCCGGGATCATGACCTGAGCCGAAGGCAGTCGCTTAACCAACTGAGCCACCCAGGCATCCTCAGTAAATAATTCTAATTATGAAACACATCTTTGGTATAATAATGTTAATAGTATCCCTTACCACAGTAATTTGGAATTAGCACATTAAAAAAAGTGAAAAGGAAATAAAAAAAATCAATGACCTGATGATATAAGATGAATGTACTCAAAAAAGGAGTTATGGAAACTATTTGCAGGTTTTATACACACTTATAACACACAAATACACATACACAGTGTTATTGCCTATTGATCATAACCCATTCAAAAATCTTATATGCTTAATTAACAAAAATGACATTATCTTAAATGGAAGTATGCCTCCATACCATTTCCGTCAGCCAAGTAAAACATCTAGACTATACCGTACCCTTATTCTCTTCAAAATACAATGATAATGACTTCTCTTAATATAGTTCTTT